CAACAGCAATAGCAACAGCAACAGCATCAGCCACGGCCACAGCCCCAGCAACAGCAACAGCAACAGCAACAGCAACCGCAACCGCAACCGCAACCACAACCGCAACCGCAGCCGCAACCGCAACCGCAACCGCAACGGCAACGGCAACAGCAACAGCAACATCAACAGCGGCAGCGGCAGCAGCAGCAGCAGCAGCAGCGACAACGACGACGACAACGACAACATATAACTAACCGCAGACAACAATCTGCACAAAGCAAACAACCAACACCCAACAACCGACAACACCACCACCACCACCATCAACAACAACAACAATAACAACAGCAACAACATCAACAACAACAGCGACAACAGCAACATCAACAACAGCAGCCACAGCAATAACAGCAACAACAATATCACCATCAACAACAACATCAGCAGCAACAGCAACATCAGCAGCAACAACAACAACATCAACAACAACACCACCACCAACAACAACAACACAGGCAGCAGCAGCAACAGCAGCAGCAGCAGCAGCAGCAACAGCCACAATGACAGCCACGCCCCTCCTCCTCCTCCTCCTTCCTCTCCTCCTCCTCATCCTCCTCCTCCTCGTTCGCCTCCTCCTCTTCCTAAACCCCAATCCCTAAGTCTGACTTTGGCAGTCCCAGGCCCATGGACCCTTCTTTTCCTCGCCGCTGGGGATCATCATCATCGTGCTGATTGTTGCGCCGTGGCCGCCGAAGTCGAGAATTTGTTCCACGTACTTGCTCCTCACCCCCCACCTTGCGACTGAACATGTTTTGGTTTTAGTGGACCTGGCAGCTAGATGGGAGTGTATTGTAGTAACATACGCCACGAAGCTTCTCCGGGGCCAGTAAGGTGCTGCTTGTCCTGGTTCCTTTGGTCTCTGTCTATTGCTTTTGCAAGTGGCGGGGCCAGGCCGGGAACGGATAAACCGTGGGGTTCAGGGTTTGGGGTTTAGGGTCTCAAAAAGTTCCTTCTCAGTTTTGTTGTAGCATAACCCGCGTAACCCTACGGGCCAAAGGGGGTTTAGGGCTTAGGGTTTATGATCCAAAGAGGCTAGCAAAGATATTATTGCTATGTTGGGTTCGAGGAGTTTCTGGACTCTAAAGATACCGTCCGAGCTTGCAAACGTTTAGGGTTTAGGAACTACTTAAAGGTTCATGGGACCTAGTAACTAGGGTTATAAATAAGGCAACTGTACGTATATTTACTTGTAACCCCAATTAGGTAAAATTTTATTGTACTTACTAACTCCCATGAACCTGGGAGTAAGCCTTTGGTATTCAGAAGAGCGTCGGGCCTTTAAGGTGTCAACGCCTGGACCATCATTGCGAACATGCGTGCAGGGAGGATTCATATGGGCAGTTCTGACAATTAGGGTCCCTTTTAGCGGCCTTTAAATCAGGGTGCCGTACTATGTTGGGGACCCAAAAAAGGAGCCTAACTTAGGGAACTACCATGAACTACCCATATCGAGTCCTTCTTGCCTGGGGGGTGTTTAAGCGCCCTGACGGACAATTGTAGACAATCCAGCACTCTGTCATGTGGGTAATTTTCTATATTAAGGTCCCTGTTTAGGTCCCCATAGAACACAGCACCCTTATAATAAGGACATCGGAGGGACCCTAATTTAGAGAACTACCCATGTGCAGGACCCATGGCAGGCCATGTCAGCATTGCGCAGCAACAACAAGGTGGAAGCTACAGTCATCAAGCCAAGTGGCAGTCCCGAGCATGTCAATTGGCTGGACAAGAATCTCGACGAGGCTACAGCTTCTTCGCAATAGAATTAGCAACCTTCGACTGTTTTGTGCACCATAATCCCTCAGAAACAACCATATAAACCTTAAAACCCAAATTGGCATAAACCCTAACCAAGTGAGGCCTTCAGCGTTGCAGATGTCGGCAAATGGGCTGCTGCTGCGTTGAAAGCCGGAAGCATCCCGGGCGAGGCCAACGACACCAGCCACGGCTTGGGCAGAGTCCTCAAAGTGCTTGGGCTCTTGTTTAGGGTTTAGGGTTTAGGGTTCAGGGTTTAGGGCACCGAGTGTTGTTGCAAGAATTTTCAAGATCTTAGTGGCTGGGTAGGTAACTTTAAACGTTTTGGGGCTCTTATAATCCTACTCTGATTCAGAAGGTTCACCTTTTTTGGGCTAGGGTAGTCAGCCCCTAAGAGATGCTTGACGGTTTAGGATGTACGGCTTGGGATTCAGGCTGTAGCATGCCTGGCTTAAGCTTCTCTGAGGGGCTTTCACAACCGAGGCATATTTCAAATGATGACTTACATAAACGGAACTGTTTCACAAGAATCCAGGTGCTTGCAGACAACGAGGTCTCCGGGGCGGCGCTCATCCACCTGACACGCGAGAAGCTATTGGCATCACCCTACAACCTTCCAGCGGGGCCAGTAGAGGTCTTGTGCGCTCACATCGACAAGCTCGAGGCCACCAACCTCAGCAATGCTGCCGCAGCTGGCAGCACAGCCGACACTGTGGAGCCAGATGTTTAAGCATGGACTTGTCCCGGACTTCAAAAATCAGTGAGTCTGCCAAGTTGGGTGGAAACTTGTTGAGAGTGTGGAATCTGAAAGAGATCCGGTCATGGGAAGCCACAGAGCTGCAAAGTTTAATTAACAAATCCCGCGAGGATGACTGCCCGCTGAGAGTCTGGAATCTCGAAGAGATCCAGCCATCGAAGCTAATAGCCTGCAAGGGTGGGTGACTGTCTGGCATCTCAAGGAGATCCAGCTACTGAGCGCCACAGAGCTGCAGATTTGGGTGACGGCATCCCCCGAGTATGGAAAACATACTTGGGCCTGCTGAGCACTGCTGCGACTCTGGATTCCCGAGGAGGTCCAGTCGCCGCAGGTACAAAGCTGCAGCGTTGGCTGACTGCCACTTAAGGGTTCATGGGACTTAGTAACTAGGGTTAAAAATA